CCCCAAAACCCCAAAACCCCAAAACCCCAAAACCCCTGGGGACTAACAGAAATTGAACAAAATAAATTATGAATGGTAAGAGGGTAGTTAAGGTGCTTTTTGGAATTGGAAGTCTGAGGATATGGGGGTCTGAAGAGGCTTATTTTTGGGATTATTAACAGCACCATCTAGCTCAGGTGCCTGGATTATGTTGGTGAAGAGTGTTAGAGTTATGGGATCGGAGAGTAGTTCTTGTTCTAGGTCTTGAAGTGTGTCCAACTGAGTTTTAGAAAATTTCTCTTGGTTTATTTTCTCTTCTGTTTTAGGGTAATCTAGCTTTGAATTTGCTTTAGCATTAAATCACAGGTTTATCGGTTGATGCTGAGCAAGAACTTTATTTATGCTTATCAAAAATAATATTCGAAAGAATATGGACTGTTCTCATTGTATCAATGATTGAAATCAAGTCAAGCTCTTGAGCAATCTTCTTTCTCCCTCAGCTATAATCTTTATACCTTTTATATAAAGGTGTCTCCTTTGATTTCTTTCGTCTAAATTTTGAGCATCAGAAAATTGAGTAGAAAAGATCTCAACAGGAATATTTATAATATTGAAGCGAGGTCAGTTTTTCTTTAAGCTGAGAGACTTTATTTGAGCTACTATCTTCATGTGTCCTACTCCTGATGTTACATTTGGAATCCTCAAACTTCTCCTCTTCTTTGATTGCAATTTTGCTCAAATCTTCTTGGAAAGAATTGAGCCTTTTAACACTGATTTTCTGAGAAGGTGTAACTTTGTGGATATCAGAACTTCTTTCCACTTTATAAAAGTACGATAGTAATGTCATAATATAGATTTTTCCAGAGAAGAAGCTCACTCAAACAGAGCCGAGAGAGTATATAATACCCATGACTCCTCCAACTTGTCCTAACATGTCATAGAACGTATATACTTTGCGCTCAACAATTTTGTAGTTTTTGTCCAAAATTATATTAATTCTGGCCAAGTCTCCACTTCCATTTTCTGCTTGAAGATCATCTTTCACAGACTCTATGGAGTAATAAGTGTACTCTTTGGGCTCAGAAGGATACCAGATGCTGGTGTAATCATATGCTTTATTTATCCTCACCCTTAGAGTTTTTTCAACAGTCATACCTTGGATAAGAGCGTAATTGAACTCATCTTCAAATGTAACATTGACTGGGCTATCATAATTATCAACATCAAAGTAGTAATTTGATGATGCCACAAAAAATCTTTGAGAATTTATTTTATTATTGATATCTGATTTGCAAAATCCAGGTACACTACTCGAGCATCTTCTAATTGATCCAATGAATGAACTAAACTGATATCCTGTTTCAGATCCTCCAATTCTCCAATCACTTGAATTTGGACAAAGAGTTAAGTGCATATTTAGTCTCCTCGCTGCTTCTTTATCAATAAACTTATCAAATTTATCATCACAAAGAACTATGGAGTATTTTACATCTTCATTCCTGATTTCAGGCCCTCCGATAAGATCTTTTTCAATGATTTTGTTCTTGTATTGAAAGTTAAAATAAGTTGGATCCATAAGTTCATTTGTATTTGCTCCCATACCAAGCACAAAGTCATTCTTAGCAATCTGATAAGTCTCTTTGCTTTCAAGCAAATTCCTGGAAACAATATTACTATTGATGCTAGTCTTTCCTTTAGTGATTACTAATCTCATTTCTGAAACAGTGTACATCACTAGGAGAACCACAGAGATCAACGAAAATATTCCTCCAATTGTTGTTTTAAAGGATTCCTCGCCTCTGAAGTTGAGGCTGACTGGAACACCAAACTTGTCGGATGATTTTACCCAAGAATTCAAGTACAAAAAAGATTTTTGAAACCAATTTGCAGTCTTTGCTTTACTCATTTTAGAGAATGATAGATTAATAATAAAGCAATTTTGAGATTTAATTTAGGGGTTTTGGGGTTTTGGGGTTTTGGGGTTTTGGGG